GCATGAAAGCCAGCTGGGTGACTTTAGGCCAATCACTAGGAGACTGTGAGTTCTAGTCCCATCTTAGGCATGAAAGCCAGCTTTCTCTCAGCCCAGCCCACCTCACAGGGTTGTTATTTTGGTAAAAAGAGGAAGAGGAAGGAGTATTGTGAATGTTTGCCGCCTTTTAGTTATTTATAAAGTAATAAAGGTGGAATAAACATCTAAGTATGGATGCCATATAGGTAGGTCAATGACATCATAGAAACACTTGGGCGGTGCAGTGTGGCTGCTTTAGGCTTTTGTTCACGTCCCTTGCATTTAATGCTCTTTTCTCCCTGCTATATCTCATGATTCTGCCTGTTGGGGTGCTCTTCAGTCCAGAAGTGTGATAGTCTTTGGCTCTTCTGCTTTTAAAATAGATATTGCTGGCAGAGAGCTCTGGTTAGGCTATGGCGGCAAACAATCTGAAGCTTTTTCTGACTAAAATCATGAAGTTGAATTTAAATTGGAGTGAAGTTGTGGGGGGAGGAATCTATTCTCTCACCCCAATTTTTCACTCTATAATCAGTGTTTCTCAACCTTGGCCCCTTTAAGAGAGGAGGACTTCAACTCCCAGAATTCTCTAGCCAAGAATTCTCTGGCTGGGAGTAATTCTGGGAGTTGAAGTCCACCCATCTTAAACTGGCCATAGTTGAGAAACACTGGATATACTGGAAATCTTCTATAAGTTTTTAAATGTGAAGACATTTTATAGTGCTTGGTTGGTTTCCTGCAGATGTTTCATTGTTGTGTTAATTAGCATGTTGCAAAACCCAACAGTTTAACCCTACATACATTGTCCACCGTTGAAAATAGCAATAGGATTGATCTGTCTGCCTGTCTGTTCGTTCATTCATTCTAGGCCATGAAAGCTACATCACATTTTGCCACTTAGAAAATGAAGTTGCTTTCACCTGCAGTGCGGATCACACTATCAGAAAATGGGATGTGATGACCGGAAGATGCCTCGCTATTTATCGTGGACACACATCCATCGTGAATAGGTACAAATTAAGGGTGATTATTTTACATTTCCTAGACTTGCTCTCTCTGTTCCAATCTCTACATTGTAAGATCTGAAGAAATAGCAGCTGAATGAGGGCTAGCACCTGCCCTAATTTCTACCTCTTATCAGTGGTTTTCTGGCCATTCTCCCAAAGTGATGTATTAAACATGTTTAATTCAGCATGTTTTAGATTTGAAACATTCCCACTTTGTGGGCCAGTTCTAAAAATGAAACAAACAGTTTCAAACTTTCTTGCTGAGCACAGAATACTCCTAAAATGATTAAAGCATCGCATTTTGTACCCCATTTACAAGTAGTCCTCAGCTTACGAATTTTGGGGAGTACCTGTATATAGGAAGGCCTGAGGGCGGATTGCCCATTTCTCCTTCCTTTACTTCCATGCTTTGGAAGGGCAACATGCAGACGGCACAGGTAATTACCAACACACTTTAATCTTAATGAAATTTGCTTTGAAATATCAAATGCTCTAACTGATTCACAAAAGACTGTACAGAAATCAGTTTACCGTAGACCTCTGATGAGGAAACATTGCCTGCCTAGAACCACTGTTGGTAATTTTGAGAATTTTGGACGGGCATATTTTGTTCCATTAATTTTGGAAGTACAAAAATAATCTATATTTCTCTGGAGGAATTATTTCTGCATCCCACATTACAAAGTTGGAGAGGGAAAACTACATGCCTAAAGCTGAAAGCCTAAATATATTGAATTTGGATAATCATCAGTAAGAATCTACTGTAAACAGATCCTACAGAAAGTTGAACAAGTTAGGGGAAACCTACAGCCATTGGTTTGTGGTATTCTTGTCAGTGGGAAAATAGAACGTATGCTACAGGGAATCCTTGGCTTACAACCGTTTGTTGAGCAACCATTTAAAGTTCCGGCGACGCTGAAAAAGTGACTTACACTGACAACTGTCACAGCATCCCTCCAGTCACATGATCAAAATTTGGGTGCTTGGCATTGATTTATGATGATTGCGGCATCCCAGGGTCATGCGATCATCATTTGCAACCTTCTCAGGAAGCTTCCAACTAGAAAAGTCAATAGTGGAAGGCAGATTTGTTTAACAACCATGTGGTTCACTTCATAACTGTGGCAAAAAGGGTCATAAAATTGGGTGCAATTCATATAACAATGGCCTTGCTTAACAATGGGAATTCTGATCATCAGTTGAGGGACTGTTAGAGTGGAAAAGCTTAATTGAATTGAATTCTTTATTGTCATTGTATGTATATACACAGTATACATACAACAAAATTCACATAACACCCAGAGACCAGACTCAACATGCACACACACATGACAATCCCCAAACACACACACCACCCGCCAAAATTCCCCACCCCATAAAAATACATAAGCATCCACAAAACAGATCAAGTAATACTGTCCAACAGCTCACTGATGGTGGTCCTTAAGTTCATTGTTAAGTGCAATTATAGCTCTGGGATAAAAACTATTCAGAAAATGTGTGGTTCAAGTTTTAATTGTTCTGTATCTTCTGCAAGAAGGTTCATAAATATTTCACAAAGATTGTAAGCAGGATGGGAAGAGTCTCTGAGAATGTTGTGCAACTTCCTCAAACAGCGAGATGCAAAGATGTCATCTAGGACTGGTAATTGGAGCCCAATTATATTCTGGGCAGTTTTAATGATTCTCTGTAGAGCTTTTCTGTCCGCTACAGAGCTGCTCCCCTACCATACAAGTATGCCGTATTTCAGGACAATCTCAGTGGTGCTGCGGTAGTAGGACAGAAGTAGATGCTGAGATAGATTTATCTTCCTGAGCATTGCCAGAAAGGACAGCCTCTTCTTCTGTGCCTTCTTCACAAGTTTAACCTTCGAAGTGAAATTTCTGCACCAATGGAAACTATTTCCTCCATGTTACTTTGTTCAGCCGGGATGAGAAGTTTGGTGAGTGGCTTTTTTTCCTCCCAACAGGATCCTAGTTTCCAAGGATTACCTCTTCAGTGGATCCTACGACAGGACTGCACGCTGCTGGAGTGTGGATAAGGAAAAACCGATCCAGGAATTCCGGGGCCATCGCAACTGTGTCCTGGCCTTGGCACTCTACTCCTCGAAGGATGTCCTCGAAGAGGAAGAGATGGAGGAGGAGATAGAAGAGGTGGAAGAGCTAAGTCAAGACTTTCTGGTGACAGGGAGCACAGACTGCACGGTCAAGGTCTGGTGGGTGTCCACTGGGCGCTGCCACCAGACCCTGCTGGGACACACTGGGGCTGTCTTGTGCCTTATACTTGATGCTCCAAACAGGGAGCTCTTTTCGGGAAGCACTGATTACACCATTCGGACCTGGAACATTGTGACAGGGGAACAGTTGAGAGTCTTCAAAGAGCACCAAGGATCCATCATTTGCCTAGAGGTAAGAAAGGTTGCCTTTTTTCCAAAGGGGGTTGCAGCATTTGTGCAACTGATACTTTTGGGGAGGGAAAAATACAGGAGAGGGAGTTCGTTTGAAGAAGGAAGAGAAGAAAAGCTAGGCACGCAGAGTTGGAAAAGGATTTTTAACAAAACATCACCCTAACATATATCTATCTATGTCTGTTTATCTATCTACTGTATCTCTTTCTTTCTTATCTATCTATCTATCTATCTATCTATCTATCTATCTATCTATCTATCTATCTATCTATCTATCTATCCATCCATCCATCCATCTATCCATCTATCTCTAATCTATCATCTATCTCTATCTCACAATCCAACATATCTCATGGTGAATAGAAGGAAACTGACTAACTGCTGTTCTCCATAAGGTGAAGGGGTTTGGATCATGTCATTAGAAAAGCTCAGCTATTGTGGTTTCTCACCTATGGTTACTAACTGTAATCTGTGGACCCAAATATTGTGGTATATTCAAGAAACCATGATTTATGAGAACCATGCTTTAGAAAGGTGTTACGTGTGAGGAAGTAGTATTGGAGATGGATACTCACGAGTAGCAAAACTTGGAGAATTTCTGGGGAGCAAAAGTAAGAGCAATAGATTGGACAGTGTGTCCTTTTATTTCTTTGTATTTTTTATTATTTCTTGGTTGAACAATAATATCTGCACTGAAGCCAAATCATAGATCCCAAGGAAAGCGTTTAATATCTATGTAAGGTAATTAAGAAATGGTAATACTTTGGTACAGGTGGTTTTCAACTTACAATCACAATTGGGACGAGAATTTCCACTGTTAACCAAGGTGGTCATTAAGTGAAGCACATGGTCATTAAATAAATTCAGGTTCCCTCATTGACTTTGCTTATCAGAGGCCAGATAGGAAGTGGCAAATGGAAATCAGCTAATTCCAGAACCCTTCAACCATCATAAATACATGCCAGTTGTCCAGAGCCCAAATTCTGATCATGTGACCACAGAGGCACTGTAACAGTCACTAGTGTGATAACTGGTTATTGGTTATTTTTTTCACTTAAATTTTGAATGGTCACTAAGTAATGGTTGTAAGTTGAGGACTACCTGAACCTAGAAAAGTAGTTGGCTGGATTGCTGCCCATAGACCTATGGATAGTTTTGGGGGAAAGAATCCATGAATCTTGAGAGAGTGATTATTACAGCAATTGATCACTCTAAAGACAGAAAATTGTTTTCTGCTAGTGGGTGTGAAGGAAGCATTTGGTTAGAAGACAGATTACTATATAAATAATTTCAATAAATAAACACTTAAATAAAAATGAATTTTTCTGAGAATCTGCAGTGTTCCATGTTTCTTTGATGTTTCTGCAAAATATTTTTCCAGGAATATTTTGGTCTTTTATCAAGACTTGGAACAGGCTCTCTGTCCAATTGTTCTTGCTTTCTATGAACTGTGTCATGCTCCAACAGAGCAAATCAAATCTTTTTCAAAGACAGCTGAGGAGACCAACTAAGCCATCTTCACATTTATAAGTTGGAATTGTGTCTCTCTATTAAACTTAAAGCTGAATATTTAGGCACCCCGTGTTTCCTCAGGTCTTATTTTCTTTTGGGCCCAAAATATGCACTAGGTCTTATTTTGGGATGTGTGCGTCTTATTTTGTTTTCATGTAAGGGAGGCTGATTTCTTCTGCTTACTTGTGGCAGGGCAAGAGGCTGCATGGTGCGTCACTGCTGAATTCCAAATGTTTTGAAAACCTGGATGTTTGTACCAGCAACAATGCATGGAGATTAGTGATATATTTCTTTTCTGCTTATATAATTTTGTATTCTTTGGTTCTTTTTTCACTTAGAATAATGCTACCTAGAATCAAAACCATTGATTGATTATGTGCTATCAAGCTGATCTTTCCACCCCTAATAGCACACGGCCCACATGGGCTTACCTCATAGCCAGGTCCCCACAGCCAGGCCCATCCACGCCCCGACACCTGCCTTGCCTCACGGCTGCAGCACCAGCACATCACTCAGCCCTCTGGTCCATTGCGGCTGCAAGAAGTGGACCAGCAGCCATGGGGGCTCCTACTGCACATGGCTGCTGGTGCTGCCACTGCAAGGCATGTGTCAGGAGGTGGAGGGCCCAACTGTGGGAGCTCAGAGGTAAGCCAGTGCAGGACATGTGGGTCAGCTCCATTCTCCATTGCCTTGCCTCATGGCCTCAGCACTTCGAGCAACTAGATGAAATGGGAGGGACGCCATCTGCGCAGGCCCTTAAGTAGGGCTTATTTTGGGGGGTAGGGTTTATTTTAGGAGCGCATGTAAACACATGCTAGGATTTATTTTCGGGATAGGTCTTATTTTGGGGAAAACAGGGTAGCCCTTGACATACAATCACAATTGAGCCAAAATTCTAAATGAGATATTTCTTAACTGAGTTTTGCCCCATTTTATGACTTTTCTTGCTACAGTTGTTAAATGAATCTCTGCAGTTGTTAAGTGAGCAACATGATTGTTAAGTGAATCGGCTCCTCATTGACTTTGCTTGTCAGAAGGTCACAAAAGATGATTATATGTCCCCAGGATGCCTGAAACTGTCATAAATACGAGTTAATTGACAAGGTCTGGATTTTGACCACGGGATGCTGCAACAGTCATAAGTGTCAAAAACAGTCATGTCACCTTTCTCATTGTAGCTGTAACTTCAAACTGTCATTAAATAAACTGTTGTAAGTCGAGGACTATCTATATTTGGAAAAAACTATTGTTGAAAAGATTCTTTCTCTGACTACCACTTCTCCTGTCCCTTCCAAATCTTAGAAAATTAATCCTTGTTTTTGTTGCTGAAAAGCACACCTGTCTTTCTAATGAAAGACAGAAAACCAAGTATGTTTTTCTTGATTGACCACTTTATTTTATTTTGACATAAACACAGCAAAGGACCTGCATAGGTTTTCTTGTAATATACTTGGTATGTGTCTGGTGATATAGGATACCTTGAGCCTGAGGCTCTGATATTTTTCCATTCCATTAGCCAAATGAATGTTGTGGGAGATTGCATGGACATTTAAAAAAAAATTTAAAATAATGGATCACTTTTAGAAGCATTCATTCAAGAAATTCTTGAGAATATAGTGATGAATTTGCAACACATGGAAGCTTTGTGAATGAGAATATTAATCAAGTATTTACCCAGGTGAGGCACACTTTCTGCAGAGCAGTGATTTTCAATCTTGGCAGTTTTAAGAAGTACAAACTGCAACTCCCAGAATTCCTCAATCAGCATTCTTGAATGAGTGGAATTCTGGGAATTGAAGTCTGCATGTCTTAAAGCTACCAAAGTTGAGAAACATTGCCTTGGAGGGAAGATTTTCAATATACAAATGTTGGTAGAATGAATTGAAAATGCAGATCTTGATGGTGGAATATACAATGTCCTAAGGATTTGTAATGGATCCTATATTTTTATCTTTGAATGTTATTAAGTAAATATTTGTAGATAAGCTTGCTTCAAACTTTTTAGTGTGAATTGAATTGCTTTTCCTGGTCCATTCAGAAATATTTGCCCTTCATCCAGAAGATTTTATATTAGAAGTGCAACAAGTGGAGATAGTTTTAGCACTAGCACTTAAACTTATATAACGCTTCATAATGCTTTACAATCCTCTCTAAGTGGTTTACAGAGTCAGCTTATTGCCCTCAACAATCTGGGTTCTCATTTTACCAACCTTGGAAGGATGGAAGGCTGAGTTAACCTTGAGCCAGTGGGAAATGAACTCCTGGCAATGGGCAGAATTTGCCTGCAATACCGCATTCTAACTACTGTGCCACCAGGGTGCTTATTTCACCTCTTATTTCAGATGTGCCAGTGTTTTTCTTTTTAAAAAAACAATTTTATTGTTTTGTTTTTTTTAACAAACAAACAAGTAGACAAAACATAAAAACATCAGCTCTCATCCATACTTATGTACAAACAGTGTGTCGGTTGGTTCATCAGTTTTGTGCATACGTTTCGTAGTCATAATTTACAATTACTTTACATAATAACTCTTATTATCAATCCAAACTTATCTAACCTCATATCATTATATAAAAAAAGATTTGACTATACTTTTATTCAATCATGCCTTATGAGATAACTATGATTAAAATAATTTATTCTGTAACAAATCATATAATCGTACCAATTCTATCCTAAAAAAAGAAAAAACATTTTATAAATATAATATCAGATACCAGAAAAAAAAAGTAAAATCAATAATATTCCTCATTGTCTAACATTCCAAATATTCTATTTTTGTATTCCATCATCCAACCATTGATAGAAAAGGTCCCAAATTATATAAAATTGTTTCTCTTCTTGCTCTCTAATTTCAAATGTCAATCTACTCATCTCAGCACATTGCAATATTTTCTTGATAACTTCCTCCTGCAATGGAATTTTGTCATTTTTCCAATTTTTTGCAAATACAATCCTAGCCGCAGTTAATATATTCACAATCAAATATTTCAAATCTTTACTATAAACATCTGGTAAGATTCCCAATAGGAAAAGCTCCGGTTTCAAGTCTATATGCTTCTTTGTCATTTTTTCCAACCATATGCGAATTTTGGTCCAATATTTTCTAGCATCCTCACAAGTCCACCACATATGGTAGTATGAACCAGGTTTCTGATGACATTTCCAACATTTTTCCGATTTGTTCTTGAACATTCTTGCTATCCTTGTCGGGGGGAAGTGCCACCTGTAAAACATCTTATACAAGTTTTCTTTATAAGCTGTAGACATTGTCATTTTATAGTTTTGCAACCATAATTTCTGCCATTTCTCTAAGTCAATCCCATATCGAAAATTCCTCCCCCAGGCAATCATAGTTTCTTTAACTTGTTCTTCCTCTAATTTAATTTCCAATAAGTAACCATATAATTTTTTAATCACCTTTTCATCAGTACCCATCAAAATTTTATCTAAATCAGTCTGTTTATCATAAAATCCCTCTGTTTTGGAATCCTCATCATACCTCGAGTGTATTTGCACATATGAAAACCAATTCATCTGTATACCTTGTTCCTCTAATTTTTGTATCGATTTAAGTTCACCCTTTTCATCTAGTAATTCCCCATATCTAACTGTTTGTTCCTTTTTATAGATTATAGGATAAGAAAAAGCTTCTATCGTCGATAACCAAACTGGGATTTTCAAATAACATTGTTTTTTTATCTTCTCCCAGTTTAGCCACAAAGACTCCCGTATATAGTGTCTTCTAAAATAGCCCTGTGTTTTGATTCCCTTATACCATAGAAAGGCATGCCAACCCAACAACAAATCATGACCTTCTAGTATCAACAATCTAGTCTTCCTTAATGTTATCCATTCTTTAATCCACGTCAAATTTGCAGCTTGATAGTACAACTCCCAGTTAGGCAGGCCAAACCCTCCTCTAGTTCTAGCATCCTGTAAGAGCTTTAGCTTTATCCTTGCTTTCTTGCCTTGCCATATATACTGCAAGACAATTTTATTTAAGTCCTCAAAATAGTCTTTTCCAAGCCTAATTGGTATTGTTTGAAACAAAAATAGGATTCTGGGTAGAATATTCATCTTAATTGTTGAAATCCTCCCTATTAATGACAATTGTAAGTTTTCCCATTTCTTCAAATCTAGGGCTATCTGTTGTTTAAGTTTAATATAGTTGTCCTCTTTTAATGTGCTACATCTTGGCGTCAAATATATCCCCAAATACTTAACCTTGCTTGTAACTTGGATTTTCAACAGTTCTGCTAATTCTTCCCTTTGTCTTAATAACATATTCTTTGACAAAATCTTTGTTTTGTCTTTATTTATTTTCAGACCGGCCACCTCACCATATATCTCTATTTTTTCCAGCAACTTCAAGGCTGTCTCTATAGGATCTTCTAAGATAAAAACTAGGTCATCTGCAAAAGCTTGTAATTTAAATTCTTCCTTTTTAATTTTCATTCCTTTTATAGTTTTATCTTCTCTAATATTTCTATTCAACACTTCCAAAGTCAGTACAAATAACAAGGGAGAAAGGGGACAACCTTGTCTTGTGCCTTTTCTAATATTAATAGAGTCTGTAAATTCTCCCTCCATCATTACCTTAGCTGTTTGTTCATTGTAAATTGCTTCTATTGCCTGAATAAATCTTCTAGCAAAGCCCATCTGTTCCATTAAAAGTAACATAAATCTCCAATTCACGTTATCGAATGCCTTTTGGGCATCTAAAAATATCAAGGCCATTTGTTTTTCAGGATGCGCCTCATAGTATTCCAAAGTATCTAGAATTACTCTCATATTGTCTCTAATTTGCCGCTTTGGCAAAAACCCATTTTGATCTAGATGAATAAACTTATTCAAATATTTTTTAAGTCTTTCTGCTAGTATAGAAGCAAAGATTTTATAATCTGCATTTAATAAAGAAATCGGTCTGTATTTCTTAATTTGGAGTGGATCCGCCTCTTCTTTAGGAATAAGTGTAATATAAGCCTCTGACCATGTTTTAGGTATCATCTTCTTTGACATGACTTCATTCATAACTTCTAGCAGCGGAATACACAGTGATTCTTGAAATGTTTTATAGAATTCTACAGGAAACCCATCTGGACCTGGTGCTTTCCTGTTATTTTGTTTCTTAAGTGCTTGAGTTAATTCCATCATTGTTATATTACTTTCTAACATTTCTTCAATCTCTTTAGGTATCTTAGGTAAATTTGCACTCTGCAAGTACTGTTTGACTTTCTCCTCATCAATATCTTCTTTCTTATATAAATGTCTATAAAAGTCTTGAATAATTTCTTTTTTCTCTTTGCTGCCATAACAAATTTGACCTTGGTCATCTATTAACTGCAGTATTTTCCTCGACTCTTTCTCCTTTCTCAACTTATATGCTAGCCATCTACCTGGCTTATTTGCATCTTCAAAATAATTCTGTTTAGCATTCCTAATTATCTGCGCCAGTTCTTCTTTCTCTATTAAATCCATTTTATGTTTAGTTATATCCAGTTTCAGTTTAACGTCTTTTTTCTGAGGCATTTCCTGCAGTTCCTTTTCAAGTCTTTTATACTCATCCTCCAAGGCTTTAATAGCTTGCCTTTTCCTAGCATTTTTTTTCTTGTATAGTCTATTATCAAGCCTCTAGTATATG